TAACTGTTCGTCAAATAGCGGGTGTTTATATCTAAAAATTTTTACATGAAGACGTCAAGAGTAAAAGGCCATCCTGGGCTTATATGTTAATTCCGCTTTCAACGTTGCTGTTGTTTTGAATGTTGGATTAGTCATATATATATACATATGTATATACGTATATATATATATATATATATATATATATATTCATATCCAATTCACTCAAAAGTTGAAAATGCACCATAATGTCAATCACTTATTGTGGGATGAATTTTCACAAAAGCGCATTTACATTTGCAGTAACAAAGTGCCACAGAGGACGTTCGGGCATTTTTTATACATCACACTGAGGCCAATTTAAACACGATACGCGTCATATATGCCACAGAAATGTGGTGGTCTCCAGGTGTAAAAACTATGGTTCTATGGTCTTACGCTAACCAAAAAACATCCACAAAGCTTTCGTGCGTATACACTGTAGCGCTGACTTCCCGCTTTCTATGGTGTATATTTGTAGAAGATATATTATAGCCAACTAGCGCGAAAACGTTCCTTAAGATCGCCATGCACAATTCTAATTCTGTTACACTCCACTGGGCCGTCTGAGAAAGCCAACCATCACACTGTTTGGTTTACGTTTCTAAGAGTTTACGAATGGAAACACCAGAAATCGGTTTCACTTATGTTCATTAGGAAGATGAAAACCCATGTCTCGTTGTCCACTGCAATATTGGTATTGGCGATTGAACCAAAAAAGAACTAATTATTCTAGCTCAGAAAATCCAAAATACAGGTAAAAACGAGTCAACCAGTAAGGAAAAGGTGTTTGTTTACTCCTAAAGGTGGCGTTTTAAGCGGTCTGCATTAAGTGTGCTGCTTACGCAACTACCCACACTTTCCTCTCTGCTTTATTGGACACTGTGGTGGTGTCGGGGGGCCTTCGGGCTAAAAATGCGACGTAAAACGGCTTGATTAATACTAAACTAGCGAAGAATTTTTCGTAAGTTTGTGGTGCTGTGAATTTTTCGTTGGATAAGCCAAAGAAATTTAGCTAGAGAAGAAAACTCCAGACAACAAAACATGGTCTTCTTCACGGGTGGTAGTACTACGCCCCTCAGTGCGGAGTTTTTCCTCGACCAGCGCGAACTATGTTCTTGGAACCAATTAAAAGCGCAAGTAAGAATTCAACCTCAAGTGTACTCTTGAACTTTCCTGGACATTCTTTGAATATTAAACAATGATGAACAAACGGTACAAATCATTTGCATAATCTCCATAACCTCCTTCCATCACATGTGGGAACGTAGCATTGTTACCTTTACAGACCCTACTCTTGCGTTTCTTCAGTAGTATGCATCGTCACAGTGACCACTAGATATTAGCATCTGTTTTAGTGCACAATACTGATGCGCCAAACTCGAAAAGTTCCTATGAAAACCCTCCATTGAATACAGTGTTAACCTTGTTTTTCTTGACGTATTATTCCAACATTTGTAGTTCTTTGTCGTCAGTCTCAATCATCAAAATGCTTGAGGAAATGTTACAGAAATTCAATGCTCGTTAATTGCCGGTTTGTTGGCCCACCATTTTTTCAGACTCATCCCAAAGCAGGGTAATCAGCCTTTGTTGGAAATGATAATTGGTACCGAGAATCTTCGTTGTCACATTGGAATGTGGATGCCCCTCTACGGATGCTAAAATAGACTTATTAACGGCCAAGGCTTCTCAATAACAGACACAGCGACGGTGGAAGAATCATCATATTATGATGAGAAGGCCGGCAGTTCAATCGGATCAAAATGCAGGCCCTACATTTTGGGTTAACTGCAAACGACTGTTTGAGAAAAGCACAACAAAACCTTGAAAGTCCAAAATCACGGTTTCATTTAAGTGTTTTTTTCACTTACTGGCCCCTGACTCAGCGGGTGCGTCTCCTTCGTTCCCAAGCTTTGTCAGCGAGTTCTGCACATCAGCCTGTTCCTCCTCATTGCCATACCAACTTGTTTCCTCACTCGTTGGCTCGTAGTCACCTGCGACAATGGCTTTTCTCTAAGAAAAAAAAACACTTTTCATAACCAGTGAGCTTTCAGAAGTTTACTGTAAGATACACAGAAGACAAAAATGCCGAGGAATGATTTGGGCTACGCAGCTGAAAATAAACATCCAGCTGGCCAAAAGACGCCTAGATATTTTAGGTCCTTTTAAACAGATTTTCAACTTTGTTTGTTGAAACGAAGGCTTGTAGAGTGCGATTAATTACAGTGAGCAGAATGTATACTTGCAAAAGCGATTGATTACAGAGATAGTCTTTTATTTTGTTGTACCCAATGAGGGTGGTGGAAGACACTTTCGCTCCTTGTCATTGCCAACAATTAATTGTTGTGGCTTTCGGGCACATTGCAAGGGCACCATCGTTTACGGACGTGCTGAAACAGTTGTTTGTTTGTTATTGCAATGCTAAATAATCGAAGTTGTCCGCGTATCAACCAAGTCAGTTTTAGATCGCGGCATATACTCAGATCATTTCAAGTTATTCTAATATCATTTGTTCTTTTTGAATATTACTTCATTTACAGCTTTCAGTTGCATCCCAGCTCTGTTTTAGGCAGACGGTTATAGCTGTGTGCACTGAGTTCCAAACCACAAATTGCTCTGACTGACCGAGTTCTTTCCTGGTAATAATATGAGAGGTCTGGAGTTCTAAGTTTCTATCACAACAAAAATTGCACAACCGGATTTAAAGTAGGGTAAAGTTTTGGCAGGAAATCTTCACTAGTTTAGTGGAACATGAATCAAATAATGATAGGCCAGATTTGTTCTTCACTCGACCGAGACTAAGGCAAGTAAAATAAGTTGCAGAACGAATCATCCTCTTTATGAACGCGATGGACGCAGAATCAAGGTGGAAATCAAGCAAGTCAGAAGCTTGCTGGGATTTTACTTAATTTCAAAACCCAAACAAATGATAAACGCTGCTGTGGGCCACAGGTTGTTGATTTGACTACATGACATTTGTCGATATTTTTAGTACGGGATTCCTCAATGTCTAACCTCGTTATAATATCAGTTTTGCATACATTTTTGAAAAAAAGGAGAGTAGTGTTATCACGAGTAGAAACTTTGCACCAAACCACCTTACTCGATGCATGTCAAAATACTCTGCTTTACATCATCATCATCATCATCATCATCTCATCATCATCATCATCATCATCATCATCATCATCTGCAGTATGACATCAGTGTTCAACACCAATAACTCAACTTAAGGGTCGGTTAGAAAATTCTCATTTGTGAAATGGGTGTGCCCACTTTAATGCTTCCTCGCTAAAAGCTATTTAAAGAGTGTATGACATGGAATATTCTGTTGTGCTGTTTTTCTTTAGGGCATAACACCACGGACTGCATTCATTGCAGCTCACGTGCATCCCGGACAGGGTTGCTTCTTTTTGGATATTTTACCTGTGAGAAAACTTACTGCACTTTATATGTCGTGTTCTTCGATACATGCTATCAGAATTGCTTTAGTTTTCAGGAATGTATACATTTTATTATTCTAACAGATGCTTTTACAGCATAACTTCAGTTGCCACGTTGAAGTGGAAATTCCAGGACAAGTAGTCGAAAGTCAAAACTGCGTTCAACTTTGAGCCAACGTTTTGGCCTCTACCGTGTATCGAAAAGCAAACCAAGTAGAGAAAAATTCATCTATAAGATTCAGCAGTAAAACAATGTCTAATGTGACTCTTTAGTTATCTGTGGTTCCGTTCGGTCATAATGCAATCCCGGAAATTGTTTTGTTTAGAAAACGATTAGTAAGCGGACACTCGTACCTGTGCGAATAGCTTTTGATGTTGGTCCGCGAACCGCTGCTCCAGCTTGGACAATTCCTTGTAGAATTGGACCTCCAATTTTAGTGTCTCACACTGGATCCGTTTCAGGGCCCGAACCCGTCCCCTGATTATGGGACTCAAGCTGGAGTAGCATAGAGTAGAAGAAACAGCATCCGTCTTTAGAACCAGTAAAAGTTTTTGGTAGTCTAGATACCATGCTATTCTTTTGATATTCTATATAAATTACACTCATTGATGGATACCATTTCACCAGGTTTCCTCAAAAGGAAAATCTATCAGTAATGGAGCCTTAATTTTTATCAAAATTCTGCCTAATATCCAAATAACGTAGTAGTGCTTCTCTTATAACTCTTAAACTCTGTTCATAGAAACTTGTCCACTGCATTTGCCATGACAAAACTATGAGTAAGTTCAGTATGACAAAAAAGACTCCACTTTAAGCTCAGACATACACCTTTCTACAATAACTCTAGATGGGTGAGTTAAACGTTTACGTCAAACTGAAACATAGGTGGCATATCTGGCAAGACTAGGTGTATTTGAATACTACCCAACTTAGTGTTTGAAATTACGCAGAATTGGTGCATCACCAATCCAGTTGTTCAAGCTACAGGACAAAATACATGACAAAGTCAAAGGAGGTATTCACAAGAGGCTCATGAAACTGAAGCTATACGAGGACTTTCCATTTTTTAATGGTATTAAAATGATTCAGCTACGTGTGTGAATTATATACTAACAGTATGATCGGAGCCAGGCCACAATCATGAAAATCTGCAAGGCTCGAGAGACAAGACAAAGTGCCTTTCGGGGCAGTCATGCTTTTTTAGACCACAGAAACTCAGAGTAATGAGTACCGGTACTTGAGATAACCCTACTTTCGCTGCAAAAACAATTATGCATAGACTTCCACCAGTGGATTTTAGGAGAATTCAGAGTTTTTACACGAATAAGCAATTTAAGTAATACATGAGCTCATCCTGTCAGGTATAAACGCAAATATCAAACCATGTACGTCGCAATAAACGGGGATTTCAGTATGTCTTTAACTCGATTCGTTTTTTCCATATCCAGCTTGTTATTATTTCGAAGTGCAAGTGTAAGCCTTACCTAGAGATTTCAAATGATCAGATACTATAATAGTAACTTCACTACTAACAGTCAGCACCAATACCAGTATATTGAAGGCTATTCTCTTGTAATTTCAGTGTACCCACTAACTGTTATCACCTATGGTTTTTGCATGAAATCTCTCAACACGCCGTCATCCCTACAACCCGTCATCCAACTAAGGTTCGTCCCACCACAACTTTGCGTAAATTAATTCGTGTTATCTGAATGACTGGCTTGCCGAGGCAGTATTGTCTGCAGTAGATTACTTTACATTCGGCCAGGACCACGACAACCTCCTAAGGCTTCACGTAGGGATGTGTCAGATGGTTAACTTTGCTGTTACTATACGTTTTGGAAAATATCACCGTCAAACGAACCATTCAATTTGATGGCCTAAATTGGTAACATGGCCATTGCAACCCTTACTCTTTATATGAAAGTCAACCATTTAGCAGTATATGTGGAAGGACGTTTCCGAGAAACTCCAACAAATGTAGTGCCATAAGAGGCTGAGTTAATCTGAAAAGATGTGTGGAATGATATGAGCCATAAAACCGACAGTGAAAGATGGAATCACAGAGGTCTGCAATATCTAAAACGCGCAGAGCATACGCTGGATGGTCGAAATAGTGCTGCTTTGCTTCAGTGTTTGGGTTATTCATGCATCCGGCAAGATTCCAATCTTGTGAATGCATCAATTGAGGATGAACAGAATATCCTCGAGAAAGACCCTCCGATTTCATGTTGGGTGAAAGAATAGAATCTTAATTGGCTCTATCTGTCAAGTAGCCAGGCATGGAATTAGGCAGATAAAGAATGCTATCAACCCAGTCAGGGGTGAACAAGAGATTAACGAAATCTTTATTCAAGCCCGTAAGGATGTCTAGTTTGAAAACTTCACAGATGACCTACAGCCTTAAGAATGTGCAACCCTAGATGCTTTTCTAGGAACTCCTAGAATCTTTCTTTTTTGAACTCATTCAGTGATAGGATCTTGACCGGTTTCAATAAAACGTGCCACCATGACTATGACAAAGAGTGGGACAAAATTTCATCCAAATTTGTTAACGAAATTCCTGCGCTTAAAAGTTTCTACCTTTACTCCAACACAGTGATGTAACTATCACAGAATTATATTAAGTGAAAAACCTAACTGTGCTTAGTTTACGGAAACAACCAAGAAAAAAAAACTGAACTTTTCTCCTGGCTCATAAGCAGATCAATAATCAACCGAATGTGCTCACCTTTTGTAATGGGCCATTGCACGTTGTTTCGATGTCAAAGACTCGTAAAGGGAATCTAGAAGACCACTATTTTGTAGTGCTTCAAACTGATCAAACTCTGAATAAGAGCTGGATTAATTTCCGAAATGTTTGATACCGTGTCTAATGGAATATAGATCATGTGTACTATAGACATTACCGTGAGTCCGGGTCAAATGCCATGTCAGACTTATACCCGAAGCGACGGAGTCCAAAATTCTGTGTTCCTCTTTGTCAGGAAAAAGTAGCAGATTTTTGAAGCTTGACGTATTGATCTCAGCGGAACGGATCGATAAGTCACACTGTAGGAGGTCAACCAATCGGCACCGTGCTCACCACAGTAAATTTAAGCATTCCATTTATACTAGCATTCGAGGAACCTACACGCTGTTATTCAGTAGCAGTTCTGTGGACCAGTAATCTGGAATACGGTTGGACGTTAAAGGTGGACTAGTAGAGCGAATACAGTTAGGATTTTGTATCACTGATCTCCATTGGATACATGGATGGGAGAGATGCTGGGTTGTGAATTTATGGAAGAATGTGGCGACAGGGGTATATTTAATAGCTGAACCTTCCCAAGAATAATACATGGCACACGTTGTTCACCTGATGGCATAAACAAAGGTAGCACATCGACAGGACAGCTTCAGGAATTTCAGTAACAATCAGCTATGATGTGTTACTTTTCAGCATCAGTATGGACCACTTGAGGGCAAACTGGACATTACACTTTTTACTTGCACCAATAATTGGGACTTTTTATTTATTTTTATCTTACTTTTTATTTTTGCGTTTTATTTGTTTTTATTTTATTTTTTATTTTACAAAATTCATGTGTTTGTCAAGCTTAGTGGGCCATTGCAAAACGAAAGACTGTGGTGGCTTTGTGGTCACTGCTTTTTTCTACCAGAAATTAATTCACTTTCAGAACTCCAGTTGAACCGTTACGGTGAAACAGTCGCGTTTATTTGCTGTGCCTACTTTTAAATGAACCCGAAGCAGGTTTCTGTAAGTGTAATAGATGGGAAAGATCTCACCCCATCTCCGATACAACACTAACACACAATGTTTTAGTTGTATGTATGTAAGCTAATGGGTAGTGCTTACTCTATTTCCCGTTCTACCGTTTTGTTTTGAAGAGGGCAAAATGTCCAATGAATTGGCCTTCACAAACGTTGCACCTGAGCCTTGTGTTGAGACAACAGAACATTGTGCACTCTTCCGTTAAGCTGTCTTTGTTTAGGAGAGACAAAACTTAAGGTGAGTAGGATTGTGAATCCCTGGAACAATATGTTTTGCATAATCGTCTTATGGTAGACTGTTGGGATCAATAACACCAAAACTCATCAGTATCCACGGTTGGATTTTGTTGAACCTTATCGGTAACTCGAATGGTGTACAGTGGTCATCCCAGTGGGTAACCGCTGAATAAGCCAGCCCTCCTGGAGAAGCAAGGGTTGTTAATCTACTGAGTTACGGTGTAAGGACTGCTTCAATGTTAATTTGATATAATTTGAAAACTAAGAAAGGCAAAACAGTTTATGGTAGATGTTGGGATCAATAACACCAAAACTCATCAGTATCCACGGTTGGATTTTGTTGAACCTTATCGGTAACTCGAATGGTGTACAGTGGTCATCCCAGTGGGTAACCGCTGAATAAGCCAGCCCTCCTGGAGAAGCAAGGGTTGTTAATCTACTGAGTTACGGTGTAAGGACTGCTTCAATGTTAATTTGATATAATTTGAAAACTAAGAAAGGCAAAACAGTCAAGTGGCCGACAAATTGAGAGAAAATTCTACACTTGGTCACTCAGTTTGCCACATTACTTATTTGTTGTGTAGTAATACTGTATGTGTAAGCACGACATTGGCTCTCTGCATTCCACTAAGAGGCTGTAATTCAAGTGGCATGACCACTTGGCTTGAAAAAAGCTACCATAGAGAGTCGGTGCTCAAATGACAAGGCCGAGTCCCATTAGGTGCACGATTACAGAGTTAGATCCTGGGTCAAAAATAAGCTGCACTCCATTACTGCAACATAGTTTACAAAACTTGTGTGTAAATAACGCAAATGCAACGCGCCGCGTATCCTATAGGAAAAAATTCCTACAACTGCTCGATGCATATGAAAGTTTACTCTATTAAAGTTTAGATGGCAGTAAGCAAGAAACTTTTGTAAGACCCCCTAGCTTCATTTGTTTTGAGAGTCCTTAGTGCGGCAGACAGGACCTGCTGCAAAACTTACCAGTTGGCTGTGGAGTCAGTATGTACCGATTTTCCGTAATGAAACCTTATCTGACAGATGTTCGACATTGCCATGGTGAGGATATTTATTGTACTGGCCACCTTGGTCGAGTTGTACTCTTTGTATAAATACCTTGTGTCAAGAACCACTGGTGCCATAGTTCAACGTACTCAAAAGGACAGCTTCTATCTCTCCTTTTAATTCTCCCTCTACAATCTGACTCGTGAATTTGTGTGGTCCCCAACATGATATTCTGCACCTAAAACTCAGATGCCACGCACGGTACCAATATAAGAGGTCACAAAATGTTTTTCCTGCTTTTAATTGGGCTGGATGTAAAATCCGTACTCCAGGTTGGGACAAGTAGAGAAGAGTTGGCTGAAAAACCTCATGGGACGTGGAAACACAAGTTCATATAAGCGTTTAAAGAATTCTGATAGCTGCTGCAACCTTGAGCTTCCTATGAGGTTCGTCCCCCCATCTAATCGTCCCTACGAGAGGTACCATGAGTCAATCATGACGTTGCAGATTTCCTCTGGATCACCTAAGGCAACTATTCTTGTTGACTGGGAGGGGATACTGAAGAAACCAAGTCCTCAACGAGTCCATTACTATCTGAAGATAATATGATGAGACATCAGACCCTGCTTCCACCCAAATCTTTATGCCGTCCGCATAAGGTAGACAGTTGAAGTACCACAAGCTGTCCTAAACTGACCATGACAGCGCTTCCAATCTTATCACCACTGAGAAATCCAGGCTACCTGAGCACAGTTACTTCGATCTCCCTCGCCGAACACTGGCTTAAGAAGTACAACTTTCCAATCACTGTGGAGACGACTTTGAATTGAAGTCATTGTCTCGTATTTCACGTTCAAGGTAATCATCAGATTAACTCTCCATACATACTTAAATGATGTACTGCTTGTTGTCTTTGCTCCCTATTAGCAGTGTAGAAGACGTACTGCCCATAAGTTTCCACAATAGTGAAGTAACTTTAGAGTGTCCCTCAGCTTTCCAACTTGTGTTAGAGTTTCAGAGGTTTTTCTGCAACCTGAAACACGTGCAGCGTTAGCCGTTATTTGAACCCTCAGCAATACGTTAGGCAGTAGGCTAAATGCCTGTGCTTCTCAAAGGCCTTTGTGTTCGTTCTTTTGAGCTTACTATTCTGGCTGTGCGTGTCAATCCAACCTTTTGTTCTTAGCACAAACTATAAAGGCTCTAGTAAACGGTGGTTGTTGTCTATCACTGTAGGCCTAGTTTCACTGTGCTTCGTCGAGTGTCCCTCAGCTTTCCAACTTGTGTTAGAGTTTCAGAGGTTTTTCTGCAACCTGAAACACGTGCAGCGTTAGCCGTTATTTGAACCCTCAGCAATACGTTAGGTAGTGTCCCTCAGCTTTCCAGCTTTTGTTAGAATTTCGGAGGTTTTTCTGCAACTTGAAACACGTGCAGCGTTAGTCGTTATTTGAACCCTCAGCAATACGTTAGGCAGTAGGCTAAATGCCTGTGCTTCTCAAAGGCCTTTGTGTTCGTTCTTTTGAGCTTACTATTCTGGCTGTGCGTGCCAATCCAACCTTTTATTCTTAGCACAAACCATAAAGGCTCTAGTAAACGGTGGTTGCTGTCTATCACTGTAGGCCTCGTTTCACTGTGCTCCGTCGGTTAAACACAAGGTTTCTTCTCAGTTTGTACGATCATAGTTCTCTCCGTGCTCTTCATCACCAGAGGACTAGATGCAGGGTAGATTCACATATTGGAGAACGTTGGAGAACGTGTTACTGTCATGTCTCGTTCAGAATGTGAAAGTGGGTCCCAGGAGAGGGGTCCAGGAAGATTCAAAAGTGTTTTTAGGCTACTCGTGCCATTCGTCCTTCGGGATGGAATTTTTTACTGATGTTGGCTGGAGGTGAGGAAAAGACGGTTGCCAAACTGTGGTAAAGGCGTTCTTGCTATTATCTTATCCAGATTGTACAAGTCTTGGGATCGATGGGAACCTTGTGGCGACTTCACAAAAGATTTTTATACGTCTGTTATTTTTTACTGTCCATCTTAGTCCTGTTAGGTGTGCGGCAGTGAATCATCAGCGTCCACAATGTTGTTGCAGTCTGGGGTCTCGTTGATGATGATGATGACGATGATACATAACACGGTTGAGAACCGCTTCTGAACGTTTTTATGGTCGGTACATGCGCTTTCTAGTTTTATCTTATTTCCCTGAAGTTCAGTCGGTCCAATCTTGAAGATTAGGCAACGGAATTACATATAGTGGTTAGGTGTTAGCGTGCGGGCACCTAGAAGTGCACGCCCTCAAATCGGCTCATGCTGTGTCACGTTTACTGATGTGTTCGCAAAGTTACCATTCAGTCATTCGCACACTACTTCTCTCGTTGACCTTGTGTCAGGACGCGCCCAGACATTAAAAAAGTACATGTGCAGAGAGCGACGCATCAGTGCAGAGAGCGACGCATCCCCAATGTCACCATCGCTACGACACGTCCGGAAAGTAGGTGAGTTGGTGGAGCTCACCAAACGCAGCTTAGCAACATAAGACAAGTGGAGTGGGGCTGAAAGTGTTCACGACCGGAATACCGCCATTGACTGTACAGAGCGAACAAGTGAACGACCGTATTTGGCCACTTAGCCATCCTATATACTTATGCAGAAGCTCTGTATGTTTTGTCCTGACAATACAGTCGTGTCCCGAGTTCTTTGTCCTCTCCTCATCGCGTAGCCTGACAGGCTCAGTGCAGGCGTAACCAATGGACGGTCACCCACGGTACAACACCTTGTCGTCTCTTTATGAGGTTTCTCTGGTACAGCGCCAGTCGGCATGTTTCACAGCTTTCAAATGTACTCGGGAGCTGGCACCGAATTTTTACGCGGGAGAATATCCAACGATTTTCTACAGGTCGTGTTGAGAAGGAAATGATGTGAGATAGTCCATTGACTTTTTATTTAAGTAACTCCTTTGCAACTAAATGATCGGCTGGTTTCAGGTGAAAAAGAGGCAAAATGGTCAGTACTTGGTTTCCGGCGGCTATATAACGATTGTTGCCTTTGAAAGGGTCTATTGACCCAAAACGGGATTGTTCAGTAGCGGCTCTTGTGTTTCCCTTGTATGTCCGAAGAAACTGAGGGATTTGCCAGTGCAATTTAGTGTCAATCGCACCAAGAATCTAAATCCCACAGGCTCGGAGAAATACACTTATTTGCACATCAATTTAGATTCGACGGGATACTCACCTGGAACCCAGCTGAATGTCTCGTTTTTATGAAATTTTCCAGGCTGTTTGTAATCTTCAGTTCCAAGATAATCACTAGTTTCCCCGGATAGGTTTTCTTTTCAGCTGTGGAGTTGTGAAAACCAAAATCAACAGAATCATGGTTTTAAGATAATCCAGGATGCTGCGTTGAACTGTTTACGGGTTCATCCAAAATGTCACTTGTGCACACATGCGCTGTGGTTCAGTGATCTGGGACGAATGATGAATATCACGCTAAACTAACCGCAGTGAGATTTGTGAACATCACTTCGACGTCCCTAACGAGCGATTATATATGTTGCAGCTTAGGTCATTCGACGATAAACGAGGCGGGTAACAAGGACGTCTAATTGGTCCATTGATGACTGTGGAAATGAATCAGGTTAGGTCTGTCGGGCTTAAACGAGCCTTCCAAATATTATGCGTGAATCTCTCCAGCCAACATTTTAAACTATTATTAATCTGGAGAC